ACCATGAGCTGGTGCAGTTTTAGTTATGCTATTTGGGAGAAATAAGGTGGAATATTTTTGAGATATTGGGCTGCTGGTCACATAGCAGAAATCTAAAATTTTGGAATACTAGGCTTGACATCTRTTGTGTTCTAATTATAAGGAGGTTGATCTGTAGAAGTGACATTAATGGTGATTGGAGGTTTAGAGGATTTTTAGATATTAAAGATGATTTTTATGGGGCAAAAAAGTTTGAGGTTTGGTGGAAAGAGTTTGGAAATAAGTTGAGTGGAGATTGGAAAATTTTGGAAAAAGTCTGTGCTTTCTCTGATGATCARCTTTCTGCTTATGCGACCTATATGTGCGATTTRGGCTCTTGGCAAGGTCGCTTGGACCTCAATTGCAATCTCCATCGTCAGCTGCCATTGGCTTTGGATTACCCACTCACAATTGTGCTTTTGAAGTTGCTGCCCAATTTATGGTGGACCTCAAGTATTTAATCAATTTTGAAGATTGGGCCTRTCTCCTTTCCACTTTCTTGGGCCATGATGACGGGTTCTCCACCACCGATATTGGACATTTCCACTTGGGCTTTTTCAAGTTKTTATGTTTTGATAATTTTTTGGGTGGTCATTTATGTGGAAATTGGGTTTTTAACTCTAGAGTTGGGTTTAGAGTTAGACCATTGTCGAGTGTTTTCCCTAAACACTTCCTTGGTAGGCATGTTGTTATTCTTGGGTTATGCCCCTCGTAATTTGTAGCTCCATTTTATTTTTTGAATAAAGGTTTCCTAGGGTTCCATCCCCTTTTCTCCCAAAAAAAAAATGTTTTCCAGACAGAGGCATTCTATTTAGCAGTGATGACCAATGCCTTTAGTACCAAGAAATAGAACCAGTCATCTTCTTCTGGACTGACTGAAGATGGCGATTGGAAGTAGAGGGTAAACCAATAGATTGTAGGGCACAATCARTCTTTCTACAATATATGGTGATGCATCATTGRTGTTCATCTAGAAATACAAAAAAGCATGGATGTTGGAAGGTCCTTAAAGCCGAGAAATGTGGTCTCTTTGCTACGTCAATGTTCCAGAAACAAACTGATGCAGTGACGATCCAATCGCATACAACTACAATGTAGAGCTAAATGAAGCATTCATACTGAATCCTTTAGAACCATCACAAGTATCAACCATGTCATCCTGGGAGTTCAATAATTTAGTTTTTTCTGTCTACAAAATGCTTACACCTTCACCTGAATGTTCCAACTTCCAATTATCAAGCCAGACTTCTTCTAGAAACCAGGCTGAGCAGAAAATCTAGCACTTCAGAGAAACAAGCTCATCATGGATCTCCAACTAGGCTATGATTGACCGACTCATCTGAAATATCAAGCATGCAGATAAATATAGCTGATAGCCTTGCAAAGAGTGTGGTAAGTATTAAGTAGCATTYTTTTATTATAGTCTGAAACCACTTTTGGGAGTTCAGTTTGCAAGCTACTAGGTTCAGGTTTCAGTTGTGTGGTCGATTGGTAGTTCATGATTATGCTTGATGTGATGATACTGATAGGTGAGATTTAACTGAGTGTTCCTTCCAGCTATTTGTGTGCTGTGTTTGTGGTTTCTCCAAATTTCAATGTGTGGTTGGACTACAGAGCAATAGGTATCCTCAGTGGGTTGATTGTTTGGCATCTGCATCCTCTTTGTTCTATTCCTCTGGCATTGAATTTGGCAAAGTTTCCAGTAGGTACTTTTGGCATACTCCCATACCTTTTCTGCCTTTTGTCCTCTCCACCCTTCCTCTTTCTGATGGTTCTTCTAACATTCCTTTTCTAGCCTTTCATGTCTCTCCTTTTCCAGATTTCCTTTCTCTGGCATCCTTGACACCTCGTTTTCCCAATAATCTAGTCACCTAAATATACACACTTCGAGTATGTACAGAGTYGCCTCAAACAAGTTTATAATCTCAAGGCATCATTCAAAGCTTCTAGCAATCATAACATCTCCTGGAGAGTACCTATTCAAGTCTGTTATTAAGCCACTAATATGTTTTTCAGATGTTATCTTGTGGCCCGTAAGGGTTTAAAAAARAAATTCTCCATGTGCCAACTGCCAAGTAATAATAGGCATTTTAACAGGATTACTTGGTGTCGGTTATGTCATGGTCATACAGAGGTTAAACCAGTGATGCATAAGCATCTCATCAAGTTCCGTCACCATCCTACTTCGCTGGTGTATCAAGCTGAAGCTTCTATCCTTTTGTTATATAAATCATGTTCAATTTGAGTAGGTACTCAGGTTATAACATAATTTCTGATTATTGAACAAGGTGAACCACAAATGGATTCCTCACATTTGCATTTCCTTTGGTTAGTGTCGACTGTAGTTTCAGGCTGCTGCTAATCTTAAATTGCCACCTCTCGAATTTCAGGTAACCAAAGAATGTTGTTGGTTAGCTTCATTTACTACTTACAGTTCTAGGCAAATGTTGGTTAATAGAGAATGTTACTTCTTTATGTCTTATTATTCTTAGTTTAGTTAATAGAAAATAAGAACCTACCGATTATCGTTGAAACCTTACAATTTTACATGGTATTACTGTATTAGGTTCCATCGAATATGCTTTGTTTCCAGGTAATCAATCGGTTCCATCGAATATGCTCTGTTTTCATCGATTTACAGTCTCTCATCCAGGTAAGCACTCTCCATCGATTTTGGTTCACTTTTTTGTACCCTCTTTTGCAGACTTTTTTATGATTGAAATTTTTAAGTGGATATCTAAAATGTTCATGTTGTAATGTTAAATGGCTGCTGTCATTCAATCATTCCAAGTATCTTCCATCGAAGCTTAAGGTCATGAGGTCCGGCATCTTAACAACAGTAAACTCCGGGTGCAAATTGATGCATCTATATATGAAAGAAAGAGTGTCTATAGTAGTTATATTTATACCGAAAGAATTTATGGATCAAACTCTGTTATTAATGTGATATCCTACAAACACATAAGAATAACTCTAGAATTATTGAGAAAAAAAACTAAGAAGCAAAAAAAAGTAGAGATAAGAGCAGGTCTCTAATGGAAAAAAGAGAGCAGGTCCCTAATGGAAAACGAACAAAGGAAGATACAATAGAAATAAACAGAGCATATGAGTATGTATAAATAGGAAAATAGATAAGGGAATGCTTAAAGAACTATGTGAAATCTTACACACTTATTCAGGCATAAAATTATTACAAATATGTGAGCGTGAAGGTAGACTATCATAAATTGCTTAGCAATTTCTGAGGTTGTAAACTACTCTCTTTGAACCAAAATAAACGTCCACAATAAAAAGCAACAGAGTTTTAGAATGTGCTTATTACACTTTTTAATTAACTAAATGACAGTTTTACTCTTAATCTTAGATGAAGTAACGAATTTCTCCATCTGGTTCGTAGTTATATGTCTATTGGATTTTATGTGTTTCTGTTGTTTTACAATTTTTGGTTTCAGCTTTGGTCTACTCTAATGGCTGGCCTAGATTTTGATTTCATCTTATTTCATGGATAGCCATGGAGGGTTATTAATCAACTTGGAATTGGAGGTTTCATGGGGAGAGGAAGTTTTTCTTATGTAGCGATTTGAGAGTGGTGTTCCCACAGTGCCATTCAGATGCTAATGAAGGGAAGGTATGTTCATGATGGTTTTCCATTTGGAATCGATGCATTAGTTTTCCATTTCTGCACGGTTTCTATTGGAATTGATCCATTAATTTTTATTTGTAACAACCTTATTGGCAGGAAAATGAGGTGGCGGATGTAGAAAATGTTCCTTCTTCTTTTGTTAGAAAATGTTCTACTTTTTTGTATCGATTAGAAGTTCATGTTGCTTGTATTTCTTTTAGACATTTGGTTGAATGTTGTGAGGCTAGACCATTCTATCTACACAAAAGAATGTATTAGTAAAATGTGTATCTCTATTTTATCCTTTTGATTCTTTTTTTTACTAAACCATTTATAGGGGTTCCCTTGAAAGATTGAATGTTTAAATATAAATTTTGTACTTTTTAATGAATAATTGCACTCATTTTTAGTTGTAGGCTTATTAGAAAATTTGACATCCTGTCGCATTGCGCGGGTACTTAACTAGTAATATAGTATAGATACCATTTTATAAAGATAATAATTAAGTATTCTGTTAGAACTCAATAATTATCCTAATTATATTTTAAATTTTTTATATTTAAAATAAAATGTTTATCTTGTATTTGATTATGTTTATCTGCAATTAGTTACACGAATTCAGATATGAAGCTTTAATAAGTTGTACTTACGCACAATCTACTTGTAATCTTGAGTTTTAAGTAATATGAATTAATAAACAGTACTTTACGCATAAAAAGTAGTTTTTAAGAGTTTTTGTCAAATCCTTTGTAATATAGTATAGATTTTTTCTTTTATAATTTAATTTAAGTTTAATAATGAAATAATTTATTTTTGGTTTAATAATATAACATTTTATAAAGATAATAATTAAGTATTCTGTTAGAACTCAATAATTATCCTAATTATATTTTAGATTTTTTATATTTAAAATGAGATGTTTATCCTGTATTTGATTGTGTTTATCTGCAGTTAGTTACACGAATTCAGATATGAGATGAAATTGAATAGGGATAAACGGGTTTAAAGAGTTTTTAAGAATTTTAATAATTTTTATGAGTTTTAGCCAAATGCTTTATAAGATAGTATAGATAATATATAAAAAATATATTATAAATTTTAAATTTTTTAAGAAAATTGAGAGGAAAATATAAATTGACCAAAATGGTCCTCATTTAAAGTGTTTACAGAAATTTTTAACAGGTGTTACTGACAGGGACGATGTTCAAGAAATTTTGCAAATGTGAAGGACAAATCTACAGTAAAAAAAAATTTAAGGACCAATTTCGATGAAAACTACAAACGTCAGGGACTGAAAATGTAACTTACTCTAGAATGTTTGTTAATAGCCCTACTAGAATGAGAACCAGACTGAAAGAATGAAGATGACGATGAGCTGCCTTCGTCTCTCTTGCTTCATCTCCGTCGTCGTCGTCGCCCTTGTGTTAGTAGTCCCATCTGCTGTCGCCAAAGGTTCAATCCTTTCAAGATTTCAACAGTATCTTCAAATCGATACATCTCATCCAACCCCCAACTACCATCAAGCTGCAGATTTCATCCTTTCCCAAGCTAGATCCCTCTCCCTTGAATCCCAGACCCTAGAGTTCGTCAACAACAAACCCTTAATCCTTTTAAAATGGACTGGAAAAAACCCACACCTCCCTTCTATTCTCCTCAACTCCCACACCGACGTCGTCCCCGTGGAACCCCACAAGTGGTCCCACCCTCCGTTTGACGCCGCAATCGACCCCCAAGACGGTAACATTTACGCTAGAGGATCACAGGATATGAAGTGTGTTGGGTTGCAGTACCTGGAAGCCATTCGCAAGCTCAAGGATTCGAATTTCGAGCCTCTTCGGACAATATACATCTCGTTTGTTCCCGATGAAGAAATTGGTGGACACGATGGGGCGGAGGTGTTTGCCAAGTCCAAAATATTTGATGAGATGAATGTTGGGATAGTGTTGGACGAAGGATTGGCTTCGCCGGAGGATAATTATAGATTGTTCTATGCAGAGAGGTGTCCAATGTGGTTAGTGATAAAAGCAACAGGAGCGCCTGGGCATGGAGCTAAGCTGTATGATAATACGGCCATGGAGAATTTGTTGAAGAGTATCGAGAGCGTAAGGAGGTTCAGGGCATCTCAGTTTGACTTGGTCAAGGCTGGTCTCAAGGCTGAAGGCGAAGTCGTCTCTGTCAACATGGTCTTCCTTAAAGCTGGAACCCCTTCTCCTACTGTATGTAGTAAAATTCTCTCTCTCTCTCTCTCTCTCCCTCCCTCTAACTTCAAACCTATTTCACAGCAGAGTCATCAACCAAGTTTAAAACTTGAGCTAAGAAAGAACATGATAGTCTGGTTAACATGTTTGGCATTGAAATCAGAGCTTTATAGGAGGCAGTGAGATGTTTCTACTCTGCATAACTAGTTGAAGTTTTCCTGAAAATAAAAAAACCGTCTTGTTAAATGGATTGCTTGAGTATATAATGAGGTGCTTTTAATTTTTTCCCCCTGCAAAATACCCGTCTCATTCTCTTACGATGTGCTTAAGGAAAAGGAATGGAATCATCAAAGACGATTGGTTTGATGCAATGGAAATAGGTTGTTAGGGTGGGGTTTGTGGTCCCATCTCCGGATCTCCTAACCCGTTCCCACCTTCACAGGGACCTCATCTGATATTTAACCCCAGTCCACAAATTTAATAATCCCAACTTAACAGCTAGTAATAACAAGTCTTTTAGTAAATCAAATAAACCCATTATACCCCACACAGAGGTACGGTCTAGGAAGGTAGGATAGGATGTATGCAGACATTATCTCTACTTCAAGGGATAGAGAAGCTGCAAAAAATAACTAGGAACAAGTGTGGTAAGTAGTTGCAAAGTGTGTGCAAACAAGCAACATACATAATGCGATAAAACAAACTACTAAAGCAGGAGGAAGATTGCGTCTGACAAACAGTAAAAGCAAGTAAAACTAAGGTTGGTATACAGTAAAAACTAGAAATACTAAGGCTGACAAACATTAAAGGTTCCAACAAGTAGATGCATAAAGAAGATATGTATGGTAGGAAAAACTGATATCCTCTTTCCAACGTAGGACTTTGGTAGTTAGGTGAGATAGTTCCTATTTCACCTATTCATCTAACATTATACACATGTACTGATTCTCTTTTCAAGGTTTCTATCTTAATCATATTCTTTTCAAACACCACTTCTGTGTCATTCTTTGACAACGAAACCATTCCGATATTATATCATCTTTTTCCTGAGCACATCAACATAACTAGGTAATTCTTACCATTTAGATTGATCGAATAATCCTCAAGAATCTCATTAACCTTTGACTGACCACCATTAATGGTTATTAGTACCTTACTCTTATTCTAGTTGTTTAGCTCTTATATTCAAGTAGTTGAAACAAAGCTTCTAGATGTACTTGAATCGAATAAAACTAGGGTACAATAATTATTGCCAAGAAACACATGTTGGTGATTCCTTAGGCCTCGTCTGCTATCATGACATATGCCTTGTCCTTTGCCTTTGGTTTCTTTTTTTTTTCAACTGAACTTCCTTATGTCGACATCTAGACTATTGTTGAATTCTACTGAAGCTTGGGACAACTTGATCTTATATGCCCATCATACAACACTGATAGCAAGTGCATCTTCTTATATTGTTTTATTGAATGTCATGACTTAACACATGTGTCGAACCTTATGCTACCTACTTGTCATACTCACAAGTGTCTTCTGTTAGACTTATTGCATAAAGGATAACTCAACTTTGATCTCTTGGCCTATTTCTTTAGATGGCTAATCACTATCTTTCTCACATATTACATCCTTTGATTATGATTTGAAATCCTTATCTATAACACAATCCTTTACTAGTTTACAAAATTTCAAGAACTGACAGAACAATTTTCTTATTGTTTAATACTCCTATATCTTAGCTTCTACCTCGATGTTTAACCTTGGATTCACCTTAGCTTTGGCCTACATAAACACTTGGTTGTATGACCTCACTCATGACATGCTTAGTGTTGAATGTTGTTCTACCATTCCTTCTAGACTTTCTTCTTAATAAAAATGACAACATACATGTCCCAAACATCTTTTTGCGTCATAGTCTTGTATCATAGTCGTATAATACCTTTTAACAAGTTTGACCTGAATTATTTACTTTCAATAATATTAACTTTTAACATAGTCTAATATTATATATCAAAACATGGTTACTATGATATGGACAATATTAAGTACAGTTGAGAATAATACACTAAATTAGCTAATCTTGATTCAACATGCTCATTTAATTATCATCCCATATACTACTTAACTAGTTGATGTTTGATCACCATTTTCCAACATAATAAAGGAAATCTTACTAAAGTATTTCATCGAAGAATAAACTCTTAGTGAAGTATTCCATCAAAGTATAAATTCTTAAGTCTTGTTTTTAAGGTTATGCAAGTTTGTAATCTATTTCTCTTACACCACAACTTTTTTATTTTGCTAAGATAAACACTTCTTACTGATCCATCTGACTACCAATATGAAATAGCCAGGCAGGTATCACGGGAGCTAGGATCTATTCGGTGCAATTATAATCTGACTTCTTTTTTTCTTGAAGTCAACAGCTCAGCCGATTCAACCTTTCTAGATACTAACCCATATGGTTATATCGACCAGGATGAGAAATTAGCGAAATAATTTGATGGAGTTCATATATATGTTAGTTATTTTGAATATAATGCTAAAATATCCAATGTTATCCTGCTCGATTTAAGTCTAAGTTACCTAATCTAAGGCAATCTTAGTTCGCTTAAACTAATGCTCTGATACCATTTGTAACATCCCATTCCTGGGGGTATCGTCCTTTGCCCTTAGTACAAGTGAATGAAAGAAACTTTATATCTTAAGCTTTTATTTCATTATAATAGAGTTATTACAGCAGCGGAAATGCGAAAATTTATAACTTATAATATTCTAACATCTTAGAATAGCAACACTTCAACTTGTTCCTACTCCTTGATTCTTGAGATACATACATGCAGGGACATTCCTGGGGGAGGGTATGCCCACAAATTAGGGGCCCAAATTTTTGTAGTATATATATAATAGTCTTATAGTAGTTTAAGAAAATTAGTAAATAGAAGAGACATAACAAAATTAGTAAATAGAAGAGACATAAAAAAATTAGTATCTATTAGGACCAGAAAATATTTTGGTACTACATTAACTATTAAGACCCAATCATGTATGAATTAAATATATTGGAGAAAAAAAATACATAAAAAGGTTAATTTGTCGTTCATTATATAATATTATTTAATGTTTTTCTAAGTTTTTTTTTTATCTAAAACCGACGTCTAAAACTACTTGCCTCGAAAACTTTGATATATTCTCCATAATTTATCTCCAATCGACTCTTTTGATTATTCCATCATCGCGTGAATTCTATTTTTATATTAGAATATAATATATTTTCTTGTTATTAGCTAATAAAACCCTCATCTTTTGAAAAAATTACCAACTATATGAAACGGTACAACTTATATCTATATTTAGAATAATAAAACTATAATTGTTTTTTTCATAGTTGTTCTTTATTATCTAACATTGAGTGCATAAATCTTATGTACTCTTTTATCTCTAAAAGAAGAATAAGATCTCAAACTATCATCAACATGAGTTTTTTAATTTATAAAATTGATGATTCCAAAAAAAAGTTTGTTTTAACCCTAACACTATGTTCTTAAGTCTTCTTTTACGTAGGAAAGAGGGGAAAGTAATGGGGGAATAAAAATATTCTGTTTTCGAGATTTTTTAGGAAAAGGAAAGGAAAAAAATTATATCAAAATTTTATTATTTCATTATCTTTCCTTCCTCTCTCTTCTCTATTAAAAACACAATAAAAAACTTTATTTTTCTTCCTTTCTTTTATTTTTCTTTTCCTTTCTCATTCTTTTCTTTCCTTCCGAAATTTGAAAACATAATATAAAAGTTCATAATGGTGTTAATCCTCCCAAATTTGCAGACAAAATATAAAAGTTTAAAATGGTCCCTATTTACATTGATTTACATAGTGTCACTCGGAAATCGGAAGAATCAACTTTGTGACCCCAAATGATGTCATTCTATGTACCAAAGATATATCATAAGATGTTTTTGATGATGGAACAAATTGACGATGCTACATAAAAATGTTCTAGTAGAAAATATTAATTTAGAAATGAGTATCGATTGATTTTGCGTCTAGGAATACTCGGAAAAACGGAATTATATGAATTCAATGTTATTTCTGATGATAAAAACAATATTTTGAAAAAATATTGTACTTATTGAGGGCCCCTTTTCACATCTCGTCTGGGGCCTAAAAAATGTCAGGAATGGTCCTGCATACATGAATACATAAGCTTTAAGTTTAATGAATAGTTATGGTTTCATGATAAAACATTCTTTCCAAATAGTTAACATAATCTTATAAACTTTCATGTATAAAAATATTTCTTTGAGATCTCATGGTTACATGTTAAGTAAACCAACTTCTCACAGGTTCTTTAACCTCGGGTCCACATAAGGTGTTGGTCCCAGCCGGATCTACAAGAGTTTATAGGTAACAGTTTGTAGAAGGAGGGGATGAATACAAACACATAAACTTTCACTTTTAAAATTATATATTGATAAAGAAGGATCAATACAAATTTTAGAGATTGTTTGCGGAAAAGATAAGGTAAAAAAACCTATCTAAACAATCTTAAAGTACAAACGAATACACTTAGCAAATAGAAAAGATTTGTTGTAAGAAATTAAGACTTGGAAACGTGTTCTTCACTTGTTTGAAGTGATTTTTCTCTTTAGAAAAAATAAAAATTGCTAAAAGTTTAAGAAAAAAATAAAAATTACTAAAAGTTTAAGAAAAAAAGGATTTGAAGAATATTTTTTCTACATTGTGTCACCCAAGCAACTCCACATTTTGCTTATATATATATATATATATATATATATATATATATATATATATGGATATAGTTATCTAGATATATTGATGATGTTTCATTACTTAGGGGCCGTTTACCAAACGGTTATCCGGGTAAGAGTTTACCAAGTCACATTACCTTACCGGATGAATATGGCAAGGATCAAGAATCTTACCCGGTAAGAGCGAGACAAGGACCAAGAGTCTTACTTGGTAAGTGAGGACGACGACTCTTACCATGGTAAGCATTTGCCGGGTAAACTGTTGCATACGATGCCGTTTTGGTGGACTAAAATCTTATCCGATAAGTAAACGATAATGTTAAATTTTACTAGTAAGCACTTACTGAGTGAGTGTTTGATAAACGACCCCTTAGTAACAAAAAAATAAAAATTATAATTATATAAATTTAATTAAAAAATGTTGGATTCATTAAAAAAATATTTGATTTAATTAAAAAATATAAGGCAAATAGAACTTATACTTGTTGATGTATTTATGTTGTGTGATGAAAATCATATAAAATGATAAAGAAGATGATAGGTAAAGTGAAAAGTTAAAACTCATTCAATGAGAAGCTTTTTATTTAAAAGAAAATCAAAATTCTGAGAAAATAGAAAAAAGTGAATGAAGGCTTCTCATTGTGCCACCTAAGCAACTCCAAGTTTTGCTTATATATATATAGATGGATAGATATATGCCAGATTAGGTATATGGGACAGTGTAATTTAAAAGGAGGATCAGGATCAGACACTTTTAGACGGATCACCATCTTATCTTGCATTGAAGCAAAAAAGCTCACATTAAGCTTTTAACATGGTGAGAATTATCGAGAAAGCCTCAATAAGATGTGCTAAAGGGAACTTAGCAGAAGCATTCATAAGCACACTCACTTAAATCATTAGAATGACTAGCATGTTTCACTAATCATGATGTTTTTGTTATACCCTAGCTTGAATCGTGAATTGAAACGCACTTCCTAACTCAAATCGACAGCGGTAAACATACAATATACGACTTATTCTAACAGAACTGCTTCAATTAGAACGAATCTGTAAGAGATTGTCGGCCAATCTTACTATGGTACGAAGTCGATACAATTCCTAGACTTTCGAGAGGTCTGGGTTCTCTCCCTGAGCTTACGCTCCAATCGAACTCAACTGAAATCACAAAAACAGAATACCCGACTACTACCAACAGCTCACTATTTTAAGCAAACAGAATTACCAATCTACCCCTTCCTTATTCATGTTTAAAGCAAAGACTAAACAAACTCAACTAACTCCTTCTGTACGTAAACCTCAAAGGAGGTTTATCAATATTCCCCCCCCCCCAAAAAAAAATTTCACCTTGTCCTCAAGGTGACAACTAGGAAATTGCTGAAGTGGTGCTTCAAGATTCTCCCAAGAAGCTTCAAAGCTCGATAATCAATACCATTTAACATTTAAAAGTAATTAGGAAATCGTTTCAGTCCCTTCCTTTTACATAATCCCATGCTCCCTACCCCTCTCCGGTGGTAATCCCCGCGGCCTATTAATAACTGATTCATATTCTCTTAGTAGTGGATCCAAAACCACATTTGGTTCTGCCATTTCCTCCGAAAATACCGAACAAGTACCCAATTTCATCAACACACCCTGACCTTCATGGTTGATCACCTTTTCGATAGCTTTCAGCGACACTATCGAACGTCCCAGAGATGGATCACCCTTTAATGTGACGGATTTTCCCCCACAAGTGAATTTCATTACTTGTAACTTCCAGTTAACATACGTGGCTCCCAAAGACTCCAACCATTGCATCCCTAAGATCACATCACTATTACCCAAACCCAAAGGAAGAAAATCTTCTCTTATCTCAACTTCTGGTAAAAACAACGTTATCCCCTTGCAAATACCGCTTCCTTTCTCCGTGTTTCCAGAACCCAAAGTAATAATATATTCACCATTAGCTTCTACTTTTAAATTCATTCTTTTCACTAAATCGTATGATATGAAGTTATGTGTGGCACCACTATCAATTAACACTACCACTTTTTGTCCTTCAATCCTTCCTTCCATCTTCATAGTTTTAGGATTAGTCAAACCCACAACTGAATTTAAAAGTACCTCTACTTTTTCAGTCACTTCTGCCGCATTACAAGCTCTTTCCTCCGGTTCCGGTTCCGTATCCTCAAAAACATCCTCTTGAACTAGCAATACATTCATCTCTTTCTTCTTACACTCATGGCCAGGCACGTATTTTTCATCACACCCATAACACAAACCCAACGATCTCCTTTGCTTAACCTCTTGATCGGACAAACGCCGGAACCCGGTAATCGTTTTATTTGTAAATGACGGTGAATTAACAGAACTAACGACGCTATTAGAAGCATGATTAGAAAAATTACTTTTCAATTCTGGATTAGAATGAAAAGACGAACCTGTCTTCTTGCCATATCCCGCACTCTTCTCTCTCGATAACACCTTGTTTTTCAATTCGATCTTCATAGCTATCTCCATTGCTTCGCTAAGTGTCAACGGATCCAAGAGTCTTAATTCCACCTTAATAGATTCCTCCAATCCATTAATGAATTGACTTAAAAAAATCTGTTCCGGAATCCCATCCAACGGCGCGCGAACTCAACAAATTTCCTTCTGTATTCTTCGATCGATCCTTCTTGCCTTACCGACAGAAACTGTTCACACAACGAACATGCTGTCAACGACCTAAATTGTCTTAACAACAAATGTTTCAGATCCTCCCATCTTGTAATAGGGTGTCGCTTATGCTCCCATTGGAACCACTTTAATGCATCTCCTTCAAAAGAAATAAACGACACGTCAATTTTCTCTTCTTGACTCAACTGATTCAACATGAAATAACGTTCAGCTCTCAAAATCCATCCGTCGGGATCTCTGCCATCGAAAACAGGGATCTCTAGTTTGCGCCCCTTCACCGCTGAAAATCGACTCTGATTGCATCGAAATCTGTCTCTTTGTTCCACTCTTGCAACTGTTTCTTCATCGGACAAATTGGTCGTGTTCGTTCGATTTACAAAATCGTTCCTCAAATCTTCGATTTGTTGTACAATACGCTCCAGACTTCTTTCGATTGATCCTATGCTACTCTCCAAATCTTCAATTCGATTGTTAGCACTTCGAGTCGTGACATTCGCCATCCCTAATCGTAACATGCTCTGATACCAATTTGTTATACCCTAGCTTGAATCGTGAACTGAAACGCACTTCCTAACTCAAATCGACAGCGGTAAACATACAATATACGACTTATTGTAACAGAACTGCTTCAATTAGAACGAATTTGTAAGAGATTGTCGGCCAATCTTACTATGGTACGAAGTCGATACAATTCCCAGACTTTCGAGAGGTCTGGGTTCTCTCCCTAAGCTTACGCTCCAATCGAACTCAACTGAAATCACAAAAACAAAATACCCGACTACTACCAACAGCTCACTATTTAAGCAAACAAAATTACCAATCTACCCCTCCCTTATTCACGTTTAAAGCAAAGACTAAACAGACTCAACTAACTCCTTCTTCTGTACGTAAACCTCAAAGGAGGTTTATCAGTTTTCTTCTTACATTGTTCTTAGTTCTTGGTGTACCTGCATTAGCTGAAATATGCAAGTGAAATTTAGCATGAAAGATTAAGCTGACATATGATCATGGTTATTTTCAAAAGTTGAACTAATAAATTATGTCGATATTTATGTGCGTTAACATAAACGTCTCTATGCATAAAGAAGTCAACATTACAGGAATTACTCCACGTTTTTCTTGGTTTCATTCAGTGTAAGTGTGTTACTGTGCATACTAAATACCTGTCTTAGTTGTCATTGAAGAGGTATGTAATAATGCATAATCAACTTGTTTTCTCCATCAGGGGTTTGTCATGAATCTGCAGCCATCCGAAGCGCAGGCTGGTTTTGATATTCGAGTCCCACCAATTGCTGATCAAGCTTCCTTGGAGAGACGAATTGCTGAAGAATGGGCCCCAGCTTCACGCAACATGACATTTGAGGTAGTGTGGTTCCATCTGCCCTCCTTTCTTTAAATTTCTCGTCTTGCATGGTTGAGAGGAGCAACATCCTCAGTTCCGCACTTGCCTCTCTTTTATTTCATTCTGACTTTCTTACGAAGATCCAGGGATGGAGGGAAATGCATGTAAATGCATGCTCTGGGAAGTGAGAAACTGACAGCACCATACATCTTACATCGTTATAGCCTTGTTTAATCTGTTTAGAGTATGTCGGCCTTCCTGGAGGAATATCTATAGCCAATTAAATGGCAATAGCTCTTGCTGATAGCTTAGTGTGAATGACCAAGGTCTCCTACCAAATGCATTTTTTTATATATGAAAAACCAAAAGTAGCAGCTGAAGACATGAATGTATAACTTCTATAACACAAGTTAAACCTCTACTTATGGAATACGATATGTTAATTGTAGCGTGTACACTTTGTCGGTGTTATACTTGTACAATATTTAGACCCCAAACAGTGATATGTATTGAAGCAAAGATTCAGGATATCCTGCCTTCTGTACTTGGTTCAAGTTCAACAACATATCTCAAGGGCTTCTCTTCTTTTGCTTCCATCTGAAACTTATTGCATCAACATTATGTTAAACCATGATGCTTAGGGTTCCGATCAATTGCAGGATGTAAGTTGTGTTGCCTTTAACCAACATAAGCGTCTTGAGATCTTTTTAAGATTTTTGTCTCTACATTAATTGTTGATGAGGACATCTTTAGTGGGTTTAGGTTCTTTCCCTTGACATAATACAAGCATGTTTTGTTATGTGACAATGTTTTATATAAATGTATTCATTTGGGACTTTTCCTGTTTCAATGCAACATGGTCCTAGTTTGTGGATACGCATTGTTTTAACTATTTATTAGCATGGGCAGTTTAAGCAGAAGGTTTCCGTGTACGATGAGAATGGAAAGCCCATTTTGACAGGTCATGACAGTTCAAATCCTTGGTGGTCCCTGCTAGAGGCAGCTATACATAAAGCTAATGGGAAAATTGGAAAACCAGAGATCTTTCCGGCTTCAACTGATGCTCGTTACTTCCGATTGAGGGGCATTCCAGCAATTGGCTTTTCTCCCATGGCAAACACTCCTATCCTCCTTCATGACCATAATGAGGTGAAGCTCTTCTGCTATGTACTTGTCAGCTGAACTAACTACTATTAGGTGAACCTGCATTACACACACACAAAATAAAGGAAAAGGAAAAGGAAAAGGAAAAGGAAAAGGAAAGAATGCAAATACAAAATGGAAAAACAAAGTAAGAAAATTACTTTGAAATACTGTTCATATCGTATTGGCTGTATATGAACATGTCTGATCACAATCTCATGATAAAGTAACAATTGAATTGGATCGTTAATCAATGATAGGTTATGGTGTTTTTGTTGTAGTTTTTGAACAAGGAAGAATATTTGAAAGGGATTGATGTGTACGTGTCAATACTCAAAGCTTTCTCATCCTTCGTTGAGGCTGAAAAAGACGCAGCAGCTTTCAGAGATGAGCTGTAAAAAGATTATGGGCTAGTTTTTGTATTCAGGCATAGCCTGAAAAATAACCGATTGGCTGAAAAAGACGCAGCAGCTTTCAGAGTTGAGCTGTAAAAAGATTCTGGGTTAGTTTTTGTATTCAGGCATAGCCTGAAAAATAATCGATTGGCGAGCCTTGTAACACCTGGAATGTGGAATGTATGTATCTTGTAATTTTATGGGCACATTTACAATAATAAAATCGTGGTGGATGTTTCTCAGTTGCTTTAATACAAGATTTGTCACCTTTATCATGTATGCATTCAATTCAACACACATCTTCTAATATATCACAATAACAAATGAATATATCATGTCGTCACATTATTATGATGACAAATTATTATACTTACGGAAACAGAGTAAACAACAAAAGTACCAAGGATTAAAAACAAACGCAGTAGTTAAGAGTCGTTATTTTCTGTTTGAGTTACCAATAATCCCCACAGGAGCAAACTCCTCCTTCAAAGTGATGGTAACGAATTTGATCTCTTATAACCACATGCCGATTCTCCATTTTTGCCAAAAGTTTAGCAAACAGATGGCAGTCTCCACAGATTCTAAGGTTCTTTCTAATCCTGATGTTCTTTCCCTTTGTTAAAGCCATTAACCCATAAACAATTGCCAGCTTTTCGCTGTGGTACAAGAGTGGATCTTCCATCTGTTCCCCTTCAACATCTTGCAACACGAAATTCGAATCTGGAACATAACCCACTTCCTTTAATCTCTCAACATACTTGTTTAGCTGCCTTACGATCTTATCAATTTCTGGATGTGAATTGTCCCTTAATATAAAAGCATGAATCTGTTTATTCACTTCAATCCAGCTACACCCTGGTTCCTTCCTCACATTGTTCCCCCTCATTGTCTTCCTCACTTGAGCAGCATCTTCCCACCTGTGGCTATTTGCATAAATATTTGATAGCAAGATATACGTTCCTGCATCATCAGGATCAAGATCTAGCACCCGTTTAGCTGCATACGCAGCTAGATCCATATTTCGGTGAATCCTACATGCCCCAAGCAAAGTCCTCCAAGTCACAGCATCTGGTTCAGGTTCCATTCTCTTTATCAGCTCAATAGCCTCATCAAGCTTTCCAGCCCTTCCCAGTAAATCAACCATGCAACCGTAGTGCTCTCTTCCTGGTTTGATACCAAAATTCTTTTCCATGGATTCAAAGTATGATCTCCCCTTATCTACCAATCCTGCATGGCTACAAGCAAACAATACTCCAACAACTGTGATGTAGTTAGGTTTGGTGCCTGAACTTTCCATCTTCTGAAACATCTCTAAGGCTTCATGACTGAAACCATTTTGGGCCAGACCTATTATCATGGTGCTCCAAGAGATCACATCCTTATCCACTATTCTACTGAACTCAAATCTTGCATCCTCCAGGCTACCACACTTGCAGTACATATCAAGAAGTGCATTGCTTAGAATCAAGTCTCGGTTGTATTTCAACAGGTGAACATGAATTTGTCTTCCCAGTTCTAACAAGGCTAGTCCGGTGCAAGCTCTCAAAACACTAGTCAATGTCGCCTGATCGGCCATAAACCCACATCTCTTCATGCGTTTGAAAAGATTCAGAGCTTCATCTCCATCGGTGTTTTGAGCAAAGGCACCAATTACTGAGTTCCAAACAATCAAATCACTAGTTTCCATCTCGTTAAAAACGGTCAATGCATTTGGCAGTTCACCCCACTTGGAATAATTATCGATGAGTGCACTCCTGACAAATACATCAGAGTCCAAACCAGTTTTAGTTATACCGCAATGGATCTGCCTGAGGCTGGGTAACCCATTGCAGGCTTGCAAAACAGAAGAATAAGTAAACATGTTCGGATGGACACCATTTCTGAGCATAAGAGTCAAGAACTCCATGGCCTCGTGATCCAGTCTTGCATTCGAGAAAGCAGCTATCATGGTGGTCCAAGATACAACATTTCTGTCAGGCATTTGATCGAACAGTTCCCGTGCTTCATTTAATAAATTGAACTTAACGTACATATTCATGAGAGTGTTAATCAAGAAAGTTTTGGGCTGGTAGCCATCAGAGAAAATGTGTTTATGGACAAGTTTGGCTTCCTGGATGGCGCCACAAGCTAGACAGCACTTGATGAGCTCGGAATATGTTACAGAATCGGCCCAAATTCGGTGGTTCTGCATGGAAGTCAAAGCTCTCATGGCAGCAGGGAGGTCTCTGCGATAGCAGGAGGAAGTGAATTCATTAAGCAGGGTATTGGATTGGAGGGAATGATGATGATGCATAAGCAAGGATGGTAATGCAACAGCAACAGTAGGAGGGATGGATTTGAGGTTGCGAAACAAGATTGATTTCATAATTAAAATTGATTTCTCAAATTCCCTTTGGTATGTATATTAGTATTATTAACGAAAGGCGTAAGTGGATTTTGAAGTAAAGAAGGCGACAGATATAATTAAAGCAGGGTTGTGGTTGGAGATTGTATATAATATGTTTAAGGAGGGGTATATCTGTTATTATCTCATAGTATGAGGAGTCATCATGTAATTTGTAGAAAGCCGATCTCATTCTCATTCTCATTCTCATTCTCATTCTCATTCATCACTGTGTGTGTGTGTGTGTGTTTGGTTGGGGGACTGAAAGGTTAAAGAGAAAGATGGAGAGCTCCGGAGAGATGGTGGCCTTCCCATTGTTGATAACGCCGATCGACACTAATTACAGGGCATGCACTATCCCCTACAGGTTCCCTTCCGACAACCCCAAGAAACCAACGCCCATTGAGGTCTCTTGGATCAACCTCTTCGCCAATTCCATTCCCTCTTTCAAGTACGCTCTTCTCCAACACTCCAATTCGATTCAATTCCACTACATCTCTTATTACTCCTGTGCTTTCCAGATACCACTATATACTACAAGTAAAGTTGTTTAAATTCTAACTCGGTTTGATTTTTTAACGGAGCGTATTATCATTTTGTCTTTTTCCTTTGTTTTCTTCTTGTCACAGGAAGAGAGCAGAAAGTGACGACACAGTCGCAGATGCTTCTGCTAAAGCTGAAAAGTTTGCTCAAAGGTATTATTCGAATTAACTACATTTACGTTCTTTTCTCAATTAGTTTACTTGTTATTAGTAATGTTCTTGTGTAAGCTGTAAACCTAAGACAAACTTGAGAATCATGATTTAATTTTACTTCAATTCAGTGTAGCTGTTTTATATATTGTGCATGCTACACATAATAAAACTGAATGAAGTCAAGAAGACAAGTTCATTTGAGATGAGATCATTGCCATAAACAGTAATTACCTCATGATTTGTTGATCACAATTCTATCAACAGAGTATTGTTTTTCCCAAGTAGTGAAACTTACTATTTTGTCTTCAAAAAGCTCTTCATAATTGTTATTGCAAATTCTTTAGTTGTGGATGCATTTCCCCTTGTACCCATATCATACATGGATTAACTTTTCTGAATATCTGACAACATGTGCTGTTAACTGAGTAAGGTATTCTGAAATCCTAGAGGACTTCAAAAAAGATCCTGAAAGCCATGGTGGACCACCTGATTGCATAGTAAGCGAAAACTTCCCTTCTATATACTTGATGAAATTGTAATGCTGTTAAGAACCTGGCTGTTTTTTTGTTTGTTTGTATTATTCCAGCTTCTTTGCCGTATCCGTGAGCTTATCCTCAGGGAGGTTGGTTTCAGAGACATATTTAAGAAGGTTAAGGTGAGGATATAATCCACCTTTCCCAGTCCAATGCATACAAACAAACCTTTTAACCTAAGGTCTATCCAACTTTTGCAACATTCATCAACCACCTTTTTGTGTGCATTTCAATATTATTAATGTCTACTTCCCTACACCAACAAACATTCTCGCTTAGTTGTTCATCCCATATCACACCCTTAAGTCTTTTGGAGTGTGAAAGAGTGTTTCTTTTTAACATGCATAATTCAAGTGACTACAAACCTGCAAGTCATATTAATGGAAGAGTTTGTTGTCCATTTTGATTCACTAGGATGAAGAAAATGCCAAAGCAATAACCTTGTTTAAGGATGTTGTTCATTTGAATGATGCTATTGAGGAGGAATCAAAGCGAGTGGAGAATTTGGTCAGAGGAATATTTGCAGGGAACATATTTGATCTCGGTTCTGCACAGGTATGCAAATGCTCCTGCCAAAAGAAAACATGAATTCCACCTTTCTGCAGTTCAACCTGGAAATAAAATATTTATTCGTCTTTATAAAAGCAATTTGACTGAACTGAAACTCATAGGATACTTCATCATGGCATCTAAGTCCAGGCAGCCATACTTGCTTCAAATGGTCAAATGCTTCTTTTATTAACCTACTCAGTTTTTTATACTCTAACTGACGCATGCATACCACTTTCCTAGCGATGTTGGTTATAAAATCCGATTCTTTGAATTGTTCATTGTTGTTAGCTTTATTCTTCTGATTTTACCCTGAAGGCTGAAGCTTTTTGTCATTACTAGCTTGACCTATTGACCACTCGCGTCTATGCAATGTTCATAAGTTGGATCACCATGCTTAGTCCTTGGAGACATTGAACATGAAAGCATAATAAGAAACCAACTTATGAGGCATACGAAAGGGTTGCAAAAACAAAAACAAAAATCAAAGTTTACTTACAAAATGTGAATCTACCCTCATGTTTTATCTACTCTGTGGAATAAAGAAGCCTTGTTTTTGATTCTTGAGCAGAGCTATTCTATACCTGGTTTCCTGCAACACTAGGTCGATCACTTGATCATCATCATATCAAGACCAATCTGGGCTCTCTTATTACTCACGGTCTAACTTTTTCCTGATTCTTGAAGCTTGCAGAGTTATTCTCAAAAGATGGAATTTCCTTCTTGGCTAGTTGTCAAAATATTGTTCCCCGACCCTGGGTTATTGATGATTTGGATACTTTCATTTCAAAATGGGGCAAGAAACCATGGAAAAAGGCATGTTCTATCGGGATTTGTTCCATAATCAATTTGTTCTTTCAATTGGTATTTGGTTGTCTTCTTTATGTGGGTTAGGGTTCAGTTCAGTATGTTACTGACCCTCTATATTTTTCTTCATAACAGGTTGTCATATTTGTTGATAATTCTGGTGCGGATGTTGTTTTGGGTATATTGCCCTTTGCTAGAGAACTGCTTCGTTGTGGGACAAAGGTTGGCTATCAAACTAGTTACTTTTTTTTGTTCTCAAAACCCATTTTGCTTTTTCATTATTGATTGCCTAGCACTTGGCTGGATATTTATGACCGAAGGAACTGACGCGCTTAGGAAGGGAAAAACACTACTTGATTGTCATAGCCTTCTCTTCTGTGTAGACCATAAAGATATTTATGTTTTTCATGTATTGACTTTGAAGGTTTTAACTTTCTATTCCGTCCAATTAAGTGCTTACTTTGAATGGCTAATTGGTACTTGGTACATTCTTAAGGTAGCTTTTGGTAAGCAGACTAGACCAGACTGGACCGGACAAAAGAACAGGACTAGACATGACAAGCTTTTTGTCTAGTGTTTGGCATGACTAGGAGTGGATATGATTGTGTTGGACAAGTTGCCTCTAAACGTTTAATGATTTATATGGTCGTTATTGGTGGCAGTGTAAGAGGAGGTGATGATTGTGATGGAAGCGGAGGTGGTCGGCGTTGGTGGTTGTGGAGGACAGTGGTGGATATGGAGGTGCCCGGTGTGGTGGAGGTAGAGGTGGTGATGGACAATGGTAGGTAACCGTTGTGGTGGTGGGGTGACAATGAGCGCTGATAGTGGTGGAGGCGGTGGTTGTGGAGGATGTAGAGATGGTGGACACGGTCGACAAGGGTGGATATGGAGGTAGATGTGGTAGTTGTGGAGGTGATGGTAGTGGTAGTTGGTGGAGGTTCAATCATTTCCTTGACTTTGTGGGTTATCGTTATCAAATTCAAAGTGGATTCGGCCGCGGAAAAAAGGACCGCATTTTCAATCGGGTCAAGTTCTAATTGTTCAAGTTGACTCAACTAATCAGAATGCTTGATTAATAAAGAACTTGTTATTCTTGACTCTTGGGCCCAGGAATTTGGAAATTTCCCGAAAAGCTAACTATAGGTTCCTTCCCGTGTGGATCCCACCAGAGCGCAAAAAGATGGACAATCAAATCTATTTCTCAATTTGTTTTTTCTTTTCTTATCACTGAATAGATTGAATCCCTCTCTTTCCGTTTCCGTTGATGACTTTTCATTTTTTTCATCGTCAGTGATTGGTGGTGTCTGCCAGTGGTGGTGGTGGCAGTGATGGGTGGTTGTGACCACTAAACCAAATACCATATTAGGGTCATACCAAATGAGGATGGATTGGTGAAATTCTAGTTCTTTTTGGTGGAACAGAAAAAAGCCTTTTTTGTCTCATCCAGTCCCATCCGATCCTTGTCCATGTCACTGTCCATGTCTCGCCAAACGTAAACAGTGAGTTTTGTGTAGTCCAGTTTAGTCCCATGTAGCAAACGCAGCTTTTGAAGGTCATGGGTTTGAATTCCCTTTCCCTCTTTGATCATTTATAGAATAAACATGATTAGTTATAACCCTGTGTTCTTTTAATTATGATCTAGAAATGAAGCAAGGCTATAGCATCCAAATTAGCACCAAAGAAATTAAACACAAAATCGGATATGATTATAACAGAGTAAGCATAATAGAGTGTAAAACAAATCCAATGTAGTCCTTAATTGTGAACCCCACCACCTGCAACATGCTTCCTGCTTCATTCTATTCTTCTCTCTCAATTTTATTTTTATGCTGTTAATCGGCTGATATATAAGTTCAAGGTTAATATGATTGACTGGCCTGAGATTTGGAAAGAGAAGCGTGGGATTACAGTGTTTCCAAACCCACAACAGTTGTTCTTTGCTCTTAGAGGATGACTTAAGAAAGAACTAATTTATAACTGGTTACTGGATAATTAAAGGGAAAGAAAAATATCTTAACACTATAATTAGCAGCTGATGTTTTGACAGTGTCTCTAAGACCCCTTCCAAGTGTTGAGTGTGTTCCTTCCACGTCTTACACTCTTACTGTATATTAACATGTCATCAGAAAATACAAGTACAAACTTTCCCAGGTAAGGTTTGAAGACATAGTTCATCAACCTTCGGAAGGTAGAAGGGGAATTTGTGAGTGTAAGCGCATCACGAGGAACTCAAAATGACGACATTGAGTTTGAGATGCAGTTTTGTAGATGTCTTCCTGAGTTGCTCTGATTTGATAGTGACAAGAGCTGAGACCAATCTTAGAGACCAGCGTGGTGCCATGTAATTCATTTGTTTTCTTCTCAACCGAAGGGATGAGAAAATTATTCTTGATAGTACCTTACTTAGAGCCCTATAAACAATACATATCTTCCACACTCCATCTTTTTTTAACAAGCACAACAGGGGATGCAAATGGACTTGAACTGTCCCTCATAACCCCTTTGTTCCAACAATTCATGAGTTATTCTTTCAGTAACTTCCTTTTTGTACAAACGGATATGTATAGGTCTGATGTTGATTGGGTTTGAACATTTCCTAAGAAGATTTTTATAATCAAATCCAGCTCTGGAAGGAGGCAAGGCAGTAGGTACCATAAAGAGGTGGGAGTATTTGGGGGGAAGTGATTGTAGCTTGAATGGTTGTACTGGTAGGTTGAACCTTCTGTATGAAGGTTGAACAAGGTTGTTGGATACTCAGAAGAACATAATTGCATCATAATGATGCAATACTACATCATATCTTCTACCCTCATCTTTTTAAACAAGCACGACGGGGATGCAGATGGACTTAAAATTTACCTTATGATCCCTTGTTCCAACAATATTTAAGTGATTGTTTCAGCAACATCCTTTTATACCAACATTAACAAATATGTATAGGGTCTGATGTTGATTGGGTTACCTTGTAACCTTGTTTTATTATTACTCAAGTTGGATTTCAAGAATTTTTTAATAGTTTAATAGCATTCCTAGGCAGGGGTCTCATAAGAGTGACATTCTATATTTGTTTTCACATCTAGAGTTCTTTTTAGGAGTAGAACGAGGGAGAGTCAGGAGAAGGCATCCCATCCAGACAGTAGGAGGAGCCATCCTGACCACGATTTACTCCTGTTCTGCTAGTTTCCTTTTTCTTCTGTTTGTTTCAATGTGTTTTCAGTTAAAGAGTTTTAACTTTGTTGGCATATTCTATTCTGAAAAATGTATGTATAGTTTTCTTGTTAAATTGGAATGATTGGTATCTATACTCAAGCTTGAGGAGTCTTAGATGTAGATTTGTAATCAGGTAAATGAACTATATAACTAAATCCTTCATTTTTTTTTCATCTGTAGTATTCATGAACCTATGAGGCTTCAGAAAGTCACCTTATGCACACGTTGAACACATCCAAGTTCCTGAAAATGAACTATATGACTAAAATCCTATATTTGGATGGATCTGAGAAGATTACCCATAGCTGCTCTTATATAGGTAGATCCCAATTGCCATCTATCTTCTCTGCTTATATGGCTATCTTTCAATCTTCTGACCTCCTGACCTGTCTTTGGCAGAAGACCATCTCCTCATCTCACTCTCTACCTGTTTGTTTCTCCCTGATTGGCTAAAGGGACAGGGAAGGGAGATCCATTCACTACTTGGCCTCTGCTTTTTTAACAACTACCCTGTTATAATCTGTGATTAAAAAATCTGAAACATAGTAATTTGAAACAATCTTTTGAGGTGGCTATTCAGGTTTGAAGCATGTTTTTTTTTTGATTAACCTAGATATCCAACCCGCTATACGAGCCGACTAATCCCAGGGCGACCACCTGCTTTGCAGATAGCCCGGAGTCACCGCATTTGAACCTCCGTGGCCACAAGGGGATTTTTATTCCTCCTTGGATTTGAACCTGGGACCTCCAGGTACTTTTGACTTTTGGAGCCAAGCTCAAACCAATCAGGCACCACCTTTGTGGTTAGCGTGTCTTTTTTATGTTGCTAGTAGTAGTATTTTTTACAACTATCCATTGGTGATGCTAATGTAACTGTGTTAGGAGTTGAGAATTGAGTTGGTTAAGGGCTCTTATCTTCTCTCTCCGAGTTTAATAGTGAAAAGGAAGTTTAAGCAAAGCTCATTTAAGATGATTATTTTTCTTCCCGAGGCCAAAAAACATCTAATGAGGCGTTAACTGAACATCATTGAACCAATATTTTCAAATACTTATAATCAAATTAACATCCTAGCCTAGTGTTTTAGCATCAACATTGTTTCTTCAAATTGTGGCATGGTATCTTTCACTCTTCTTTAGTATTTTGTTTCAACCATATAGCTTTCATAATACAGGTCGTGTTGGCAGCTAACGACCTACCTTCTATCAACGATGTAACTTATCATGAACTACTGGAGATCATATCAAAGGTACTATAGCTGTAACTAATTTTGTATGTAATGGCATTGCATTTTGCTTTAAATGAAGAGGGTACACTTGGTTTCTGTTGATCTAAATGTGCTATGTCGAAATCCACAGTTGAAGGATGAAAATGGACTGCTTATGGGTGTTGATACTCAGAATCTTTTGATTGCGAATTCTGGTAATGATTTGCCGGTAAGACTATGGAAGGCGTTTTGATTGATTTCGTAATATGTTGAGGGTTGTCAAGTATAATTATAGGCATCTAATTGTTATATCAGGTTATTGATCTCTCGAGTGTGTCCCAAGAGCTTGCATACCTGGCAAGTGATGCTGACTTGGTAGTTATGGAAGGAATGGTGAGTAGTTGGTTATTTAACCATAAACAGAATCATTTTCCTTGTACCTTAGATTGCTATATGGTTTGGTTTTTTAGAGGATAACAAACACAAGGACCATGCTTCATTCAGTATGGAAAAACACTTTTCTCACATTACACGCAATTATCTGATCTCTAATCTGTGGCAGGGCCGTGGAATCGAGACAAATCTATATGCTCAATTTAAGTGTGATTCCCTCAAGATTGGAATGGTTAGTGGGAGTATATTTTTGTGAAACTTTTGAGTCCCTTTTTTGCTTGGTTTAATTGAACTGATGAAACATTTGTATGTAGGTGAAGCATCCAGAGGTTGCCCAGTTTCTAGGAGGGAGGCTGTATGATTGTGTATTCAAGTTCAATGAAGTTTCAAGTTGTTAACAAGATAGAATAGTACATGCAAGAAGGAAGGAAGCATCCATTCTTTCTGATACTTGTTTTAAAAGTATTCAAGGCAATGGAGCATGATGAACTTGGTGTCTTTTGTCAAAATGAGAATTCTTTTGGTGTTTTCTAGATAATATATTGATGAATGCCAAGCTCAGTCGAGGAGTTGGTTTAAGAAATGGGTGGTTCCTTCATTTTTCTCATAATTGAATGGATTGATACTGAGTGTTTCTTCATCAGATGCTAGCCAGCCATTCGATTCAAACAAAAAACATACACATTTTATATAACAAAGGAAATAGACAGTGAAGTCCTTACGTAATAATATGGTTCTAAAGACTTACAGCAGATGTTGGAATCAAAATACATGTAAAATGAATCCAATAAATTCTGTTTCTAAAAAAGGGAGGCAGTGTGTGTATTTCATCATCTCTGCAGCTTTCCAATTGAATGCAAATATATGGAAACTGAAACAACACTGTCAACATACATACATGACTTGGTTAGTTGTTTCATTCATCAAAAAGAAGCAGTAGCATTAGTAAAGTCAACATTACTTACGTGGATCCGAGGAAGAAAGCCAGGGATAGATGAAAATTGAACAGAAACACCGAGACAACTGCGGTTACTAGCATTGCTACAGAAGTCGAATACACCTGCAAATAAAACTTTCTTTAATAAAAATGCAACATCTATCTATCTATCTATATAAAAATGCAATTAAATCATAGTACCAACGGGAGTTTCTTACAACTTGGCTATTCTATTCATGTACTTCTCTCTATTGTAAATATATGTTTAATTTTCTGTTTTTTTTTTCTCGGTTTCTAAATTTGATAGATTTTGTTGTATGCAAATCTTGTACATATACTTTCATTCGTTAAAATCGCTAGCATTAACTATATATTTGACATTGCATGTTTGTATTGAGTATATAGGATTATAAATTCACCTTTGGCCCACACTGGACTTTTCTAGGTGCTGTAAATTGTCTAGTTAAGAACACAACCTTCAATTTCACTCTACTAGACAGTGATTAAAGAAATCTTTCACATTGATTGAAGTAAGCAACTATTTTGTTGCAACTCAAATCAATTGAATACAGCAGGATGATAGTTACCATCAAATTAACAAGTGCTGTGTCTTTCTTCCATCTAATTAGATACAGTCAAAGTTAGCAAAGAAAAATAGTCACACAAGTGCCAGCAATTTTATGATCCATATTCTGTCTGGTCATAAAATCAACAGGGGTGCACATGGCACACCATCTCATACTAATTGATTGACTTGAGCCTGATGTGGCAGGGACATCAAACATGACCTTTCCTATGATATGTTTCAACTTCTTTTTAACAAGAGATAAGGTGCAATCTAAAAATCATGGGGAACAATGAACAAATAGCAAACAGAACTTTGGCCTTACCTTCACAATATTGTCAGCATACTTCATCACCATAGACACAGCGATCCCGCTGCAAATCCGAAACAACACTATTTATTCAAAGATAAAGCAAACCAAAGCTGATCCAAAACTTTTGGGCAATGTTCAGAAGAAATACAACTTAAAAAAAAGTAACTATATAAAAAAAATTAGTATAAAACTTATACTTCCATATGTTTACATTATCTAAATAATCATATTTATATATTAATATAAACAACTTTATCCACATTTAGCCGTTTAAGCCTAGAAGTTCACTTACCCGCCTAGGCCCTAGCTTCTTTCAACACAATGTATTTCACTAAAATGTATACAAGAAACATAGTTTTCAGAAAATTGAAAACTACACGTTTTTTCATCGAAGCAAGATCAAACTACACCCATGCAGTACTAGAAACATCAGAGACAAACTTGCAGCATACTACAACTGAACTATATAAAGATAAATACCTTAGGGCATGATTGATAATCATGAGAACCGTAATTAGTGAATATCCATGGAAGAATCCCCTGCACACAAGAGTTCAGCTTTCATTAGAAACAAACAGTATAGTAAAGAAAACCCTTTATAGATAATACCCTGTAATTTCAAATTAAAGAACTCTGAAACCTAGAAAGAATCTCTTGCATCATAAATTTATAAGTGAACTCATCCAACAAAATAGTACTAAGAAAAGGTATAACTGAACATCTGGATTTCCGACTTTGGCACTACTTACTTGAACGAGAAAAATAAAGAAAAGTAATCATCAGTGAAAACCAACCAACAAATTTCTTGGCTGAATGTTTTTTATTATTCATAGTGGACAATGATACTTCACTTATGACTAAAGATTATCATATTTCAGCCTTTAGTTCCTACAATCCTTTGTGCATGATCAATCAAGTGAAGCGATGCATTAGGCCTTTTTGTTTCATGTTAAATGTTTTTCGGAATCACGAGTCATTGGAAGTAAGGTTTTCATTTCTTCAAAGAGAATGTATGCTCCAGTTAAGAGGAAAGTTTTGTACAGAACAATCTGTAAATAATGAGGAAAGAGTTTTCTTAACACGAACTACTAGCACTATGTAACAGTTTACTTAAGACAACTTCTAAAAGAGATATTGAGGCATAAGGAAAAAGAGAAGACAGAGACAACGACTTTAAGACATGGTTTGTAACATATTAAGTACTTAAAAATCTGAGAATTACTAATGCCAGAAAGCAATGGAAGTTCTAATATATAACACTTCCGACTTTGACCTCTTCATTTCTAAGCTCAAGGATGTTAAATATACAATTCCCTCTGTTTTACTATTCATTTCATATTTGATACATGTGTTGCCTTCCTCTGTTCCTGGTTAACTATTTATTTTTCTAGAATACCGGTGCAAAAAGTTGACCTGGTGAGGCTTAACCCAACTTCTCAATTGACCCTCTTTCATGAAAGGCAAAAGAGGCTACATGAAAATCCTTGACTCTTTGTAGATAAGCATCAAATTAAGAAACAGTGAAGAGCAGTATTCATGATGTATGCATGAAAGAGCATAATTAACATACTTGTTCACAACAGCATCAAAATCTTGGATCAGTATAGCAACAACGTTGAAGGCCATCCCAAAGACATATAACCAGAAGTTCTGCACATTTATGTTCCTGGAAGGTCGTTTTTTTATTATAGCCTGTGAAATTAGAGATGAACTTATCAAATAGAGCAAATACGATGTCCATTCACTTGACAAACCTTGTTATGAATTATGTCCAAAAAACCAAGAGCCTTACAATAGGATTTTATAAAACTATCAAGCAACAAAAATTGAGACATACTTGTGAAACAACTTAACAATCTCACTGAGTTCCCAACTGACAGTGAAATGCAATTTTAGATACCAAAAAGCAATATACACCCTTTACCTCTGTGTACACTCCAGCAAAACCGCTTAGAAGTGCCATGATCTGCAAAGAAATGAAGGAATACATATTAGAATGCTCCGCAGTTGAACAAACAATTCATTTGGTAATATGAAGGAATAATCTGAAAAAGCCAAAGGACTCACAATGGCCATCAACCAGCCTATGAAAGGTGTCTGAAGAACATGATCAGAACTGTTAACAAGTTGAAACACAGTGTAAAATAAGAGCCAATAACTAAAAGATGATCAAAAGAGACCTAAGAAATTCACGGACAACTTAATCTCCACATTCAGGGTCAATGCACAATAATAATAATTTTAAACACAACATTGTAGTGCTTTTCCAGGGAAGCACCCACATGTTTGAAGCAAATGGTAACAGACTCGGTAATGAAAAGGTCCTGAACAATCGCAAAATGCTCCCTTATCATGGTTCTTAGAGAAATACACAACTGCAGTCATGGATGTGCTTTTCCTAACTAGAGAAAACAAATTTGTATCCAACCGTGTTCATGTGATTTATGTTTCTTTTTTGTTCTACACTTCTCTTTGGTGGGTGGGTGTAGGTGTCACATATGTTTTGTTTTTTGATTAACCTGGATATCCAACCCGCTATGCAAGCCGACTAATCCCAGGGCGACCACCTGCTTTGCAGATAGCCCAGAGTCACCGCATTTGAACCTCCGTGGCCAAAAGATGAAGATGAAGGGCCTTAGGATCTACCTAGCTTTGAAGATGCATTACATGAAACAAGTAAAAGATCTTGCCACAGCCACTGGGACATAGCAGTTTCATAAAGTAAATAAGGGTCTGCAGATGTGACAGAAATGACTTTTCGATCATCACCAAGACTACAGAACATTCAAGGGAGCAAAGAGCCAGGGGAACTTTTAGGACCCAAGGGGACATACTTGATAGTTAATAATGATACTGCAAATGATAGTAAATGACTGATGAACCTATGATAATTTTTTATACTATAACACAAGGAACTAAATAAAAAAAATTTGTTTGATAATGTGCCTATTTAAGTTATGCAAAATGCACATCTATGAAGCAATCCAGTACAGCAACAACACAAGCACGAAACTTGTAATATGGAGATAATCAAACTTACGAAGGATTAAGTTGTGCCGTTGTGCACCCCGCACAAAGTAAAATGAAAGCAGCCCACTGAATCTCGCTTAACCTGTGCAAAGTTATCATAATACAGAGTTATCATTCTAGAAGCCACCTGATCAGAAACAAGGTTTAACATGGTAGAAGAAGATTTAGATTCATCTTTAAGACAATGACATAAGAAAGCCAAACCATTAACTGGTTCATATCTAATATTAGTCTCCAAACATGAAAGTAGATTTGGAGCATTAATTAAAAGAAAGAACTTTTCATACTATATATATTATCAATGGGGAAAAGCAATTCAGATAAAGCTAATATTTAAAACAATCATCAGGAGGATCCACATAGAAGGTAGGAGCACGTACTTCTTCTTGAGAATTATGCGGTACAACACACCAGTGCTGATAATATTCAGGTTTTTCAGTATCTGATACCCTGGAGCATCCACATACGCAAAGATATAATACTGCCAAATGCAGGAGTACCTCAGAAAGAATTGAAGTCAAAGCAATTGACATTTTCAGATAAAACAACGCCAGAAACCAACCTGGAGCAAATTCTTAACAAGGTAAAGTGCTGCAGGGATGGGGTAAACACTAACTTCATCCACTGTTGTACTTAACCTGATATACACATGACAGAATTAGAATGGTAAGGGAAAACTGCATGCTTCTTATTCTGGTTCCAAAGTTGCATACACTAGAAATTCTCATAATATATACAATGTACAAAGTAGTTGTACACGTTATCAAGTTATTATTAATCACTCATTTTCACTTTCCTATATATACGTCTTACAAGATGGATGAAGGAAAGGATTCAGGCTAAAATTCACCAGGCCAAAAAATTCAGTCCTAATGAGTAATTTACAAATGCAAATATGAACTATTAACGGCACCCAGTGGCTTCCACTGAAGTTTGTGAAGACTCGGGAATGTGGGAACAATGAACCAAGGAGAGGTTTTAAGGGGACAAGTGATCAAGTTTTGTCAATCAAAAGTAGGACGAACATGAAACCCATCATTTGTAATCTTACACGAGATAAACTACAGATGATCTTGCATTTGTCCAACAACAATTAGTCCTTCATATTATTATGACTTTCGGAGGCAGACTCAAATGGCAATATCCTCTGATGAAGATGTTAATTTTCTCCAAGCAGAGTAAAGAGTGCAAGAAAGAGGACAGAACTCCCAATTCTAAAACCCGGGACTTGAATTCAAGTCCTGTTATTAATTTCCTCATGATTTATTATAACTAAAAGAATTCATTTAAGCATCTCATTGCTTTCATTGTAAGATTCCATTTGAATAGGAATATGCATGCGAGCCCCATGAAGTAAGCGTTAGGACCCTGCACATTTTTATCTATCACTGCCCTTCACATGCTATCTACACCCTTTGTGCACCAAAAATCACCTTGCATCATTTGAGGCCATTACCTCGACAAATGATTATACATGTAGATGATTTGATACATAAGTGAATACGTGACATCTTGTCTATTCCAATCCTATAGCTTTCCTGGACTGTCATTTGCTTAGCTTATGTGCCACAGCTAGGACCCATCCATTAGGGTGCTAAATCTTGCTGGGTTAATAATTGAACGAACCTAATGAAAGCCTAACGAGAAGATGAAAGACAAAAGAAAGTAAGTGGAATAGAAGAGACCATATTCCACCTATTTACAAAGCACGTGAGGATACACGTGCTCAGATAAATCATGCATACGGCTTGAAAAATGCTTTCTTGCCAGCTTTGGAGCATAAGGGGTATTCGGAATGATAACCTTATACCATCACAGATTTTTCAAATGTAGGATGATACAAACTAGTAAATTGAACTCAAGTATTGAAGTGGTAAAGAGTGCAAGTTTCATGGTGTAATGAAACAAGTGGAAAAATCTAATTGCAAAGAGAGAATATTCAAGAAACCTGTTATCATCGGTCACACCTTCAGTTCTCCATATTCTAGCCAAGGCAGCAAGGGATAGTGCACATTTCAAAGCCTCAACCTGATTCCAAAGCAAGGAAAACGGAGGTCTAGCATAAGACAGGCGAAGAGAAAAAATTCACAATCAGAGTATGGAGCAATAAGTAAAGGTTCAGGATTGAAGCATGCTGTAATTTTTCTTGGGAAAAGATCATGCCAGCCATTTCACTTAAATCCTCACCAAAAAGTTAGCGGTTGTGACACTGTACTCGTATCTTCCAGCTCTTTTGGACCAGACAATAAGTATAGCTTGGGAGCTGGTAAGAAAAGTTAATGCTAGTGTAACGGCAGACCTATTGCATCCAAGACAAGAGAAGGACATAAAGATGAGGAGATGTTGCAGAAAATGAAAATGAAAATGGCAATGAAAATGAAATGATAGCCACTACTTACTTCCTTTTCCACTTTGTTTTATCAAAAGGTGGAGGAACTGCAAAAATCAAAGGAAAACCCTAAGGAACATCCAAAATAAGAGTTGAAGAAAGAGATTGAAATCGTATGATACCATCCAAAAGATCTTTGCCACGTAAGCTCTCAACATCTTGATGGGCAGGATCCCCATCCTTATCCTAGAAGGTGAGATTAGATGTGTGAATTCGACAAGGAAGCAGATCGAGGTTGAATCCAACATGAGAAAGAGATATATGTTGCTTAATTGGAATAACCCCCAATTTAAGAAAGAAGAAGCAATGTTAACAAGAGAAAGAAATGTAGATGGAGATTAAGAGACGAGGGTTGGAACCTGATCTTTGATTCTTCTGTACTCCATGGAAAGATGAATGAATTACGAGTGTGTGAATTGGATCGAGATGGAGGAGTGAATGCGAATGAGCAGCAGCTGATGGCAGTGGAAGTCGACGGTCGATGGACTGAATTCAAATGCAAGCTTAGACTTGGGTTGTTTTCAAAAGAATCGGAATCGCTATCGCTATCGCTATCGCTATAAAAAATGTTTTTAGCATCGACATTGATATAAAAGTAATCAAATATCAATGGGTTTTTATAATCTAATTTTGATTTATTCTTGTATTTATTTATTGTAATATTATTCTATTTATATATCTTAACTATACTATGTTATACTATACTTTACGAATGTGTAATTCTCATGTCGCTTCTCTACCAATACATATACGGGGATGTCTTTCCTATGTTTTTGACATATCTTAATTAATCTCATGTTCTCTTTTACACAACAACATTTTTAGACATATTGGCTTGTGTGTATGTTTTTTTTTATTTATGACCTACCTGGATTATGTTTGTAACATTGGTCATAGGAAGCTTAAAAATAGATATGTTACGGTTGGAATCAACATCCCAACCATCTTCACCAACATCCACTTATAACCATATATTATATGGATAGATATATCAAAGATCCTTGACTGTTTTCTAAAAATATTATCCTATTCATCAAGAAACACACAAACATGTATCCCAAAGTCATCAATATCTTGTGAAAGTTTATTTTTTTTTGTGACAATGCTAGCTATGGCCTATATTCTGTTTATGAATGAACAAATGTTTGTTAATAAAGAAGAGGCCGGTTGTTTCATTCCCTCCCAATAACTCTTAACTTAAGCTGGTTTGATCCAAACAAATAACATAATAACACAATCACAAAAGTCATATACAATAAGTCAATAATCATATCAACATGAATTTACTAACACTAGGAAAGGAATGATAATTGATTGAAGATGAAAAAAACAAATGATTTATTCTTTATGTCTGTCACCAATAGTGTTGTGATAGTGGTACTTGGCAGCTCAATTGCCATTCATGACATTCGCTAGTTCAATCCAATTATGCATGAATCACATTCACCAATCACCAGGTTGGAATGATTCTTGAAATTAAATTAATTGTTGGTTGATGCATAAGATTAAACTCAAAGTCAATGACCTCTAATGTTTAAAAATGATGAAAAAGAATACAACATAACATAATATAAGGAGTTTGAAATATTAATTAGTCAAATGTGATGTTGTGTTGTGTTGTGTGTGATGAAAGCAACGAATAAGATTGTGTCATCACTGCTACTTCTCTGCAAATGTCATTTTTCTGTTTGCAAAACCTGATACTTTTTCCAAATTTAAAAAAAAAAAGAAAAAAAAAAAGAAAAACTTACAAAAGTCGTAAGAATGAATGATTGGCATAGTTGTACACCTTCGTTTACATCTGTACATAAAATAGGGACAAATTAGAGTCTGATGATGGATCCCACCACCACCTCACCTTAACCCTTCAAATAAAAACACCACCCTGAGCCTCAATCTAAACCCTTTCAATTTCAATTTCAAATTGCTTTCCTTCCTTCCCAATTCCCATGGCTACTATGTTTCGGAAGGCGGCATCTCTTCCCGTTTCTCATTCAAACATCGATGATCAATCTTCAATGGCTGCCGGCATGCGACGGAGACTCTCCTCCATGTCTTTACGCATCCAGCCCTCTGCCATCTCTGGCACCACCACTGCCGCAACCGCATGGGCGATGCGCCGCTCTAAATCCGTTTCATCCATGGGTGAATCCGCATCTACCTCCATCAGGAGCTGGTGGGATTGGGGATGGGGATGGATCCTCTCCAGGAAACCCCTATTCGCACAGGATCTGGAGTTCAACCAAGACGAAACCTCCTTTCTCAGTTCACATGACAAAGGCAGCTGGAAACACGTCATCTTCAAGCTCAGATCCGAGATTCGAAAACTCGTCAGATCCGATCAAAACGGCCTCCCGCAGAGCGTCCGTTACAACTCCTAGGGCAACAGCAAGGGCATGTGACTGTGTGTGAGCCTGAGGTATTATATTGTATGTATGAAATTACTTTCATATCATATCATCCTCATCATCATTGTTAGATAGACAAGGAAAAGGAAGATTCAATGCGCCATGGCGGTGCCGGTGGTAGTTTGTTTTCCGATCTGAAATTCTGGACGTCGGTGGGAATACTAGTTTGTTGTTGATGTGAACTTTCTAATTCTTTGTTCAATATATGTATATCAAATTATTTATTGTATTATTTCATCAAATTGCTTGATTATGCTAAATAAATTCAATTTCTTTGGCTTTAATTCTTCATACTAATCAAGCGTTCTTTTTTCCTTATTATGAATTCCAAACATAATCAAATACCACCCATGCAAATTGAAATTGAAATTGAAATTGAAATTGATTTAGTATAGCATAAATATACATTAACAAAACTTGACATATGAGATTAAATATTAAAAGTAACAGGAAACTTGTTAGGTATTCCCTTCAATCTCACTTGCATATATAATTTTCATCATTTTGATTGATGAATCGTCCAAACTCGTACAATCATACATAATATATCAATATGGGGTACCATATATTTGTCGGCAACAAACAATTAGCAACTCTTCCATCAAGGCAGACTGATGGAAATTAACAATTAACGTTTTATTAAATGATGATTGTAAGAAAACAAGCTGCAGTCGATCCGCTAGCTAGAATGGTCGCTTGTAGAGGATCCAGAAGTAGTCTCCTTATTGTTTTTGTTTTTTTTCTTGTTTTTGTTCCCATACCTAGTAGGCTCTCCTTGGTAATTGTCGTCAACATCCAAATGGATGCCTGGATCATTGGCGGAGTAACTACCACCCACCATGATAGAGTTGTTGACACTCTGAACGTTGTTGTTGAGGTAGGTCGTAAATGGCGATGATTGGTCTTGTTTTACACCTGCAGATTTATAGTTATCATCCTGATCCATGCTCATCATCTCACCTCTCATGGTGGCTCCTTCGTTGGTTCCAGCCATAGTTATGATGCCAACACCGGCTCTATGGTCATCCTCCTCCTCCATCTCCTCTTGGTGGTGTAGGTTATGGTTGGCTCCGTCCATTGGCTTCTTTTGGAGATGAGCAAGACGACGAGTGAGTGCTGATATCATATCCCCAATTTCACGATCAACCTGCTTCATGATTGGTATGGTATGATGTGGGAAGCTATATTAATAATTAATAAGCAAGAGTGATGGGAGGGTTGGGGTTTAAATGGACACCATATGTGAATTGGAATGCATTCCTTGCTTGGACACCAATTCAAGCATACATAAACTTTGTCTACTTTAATTCTTCAATACCAAAAGAAGAAGCAAGTAAGTAATTAAGGAAGGGATTGCTTCATTCCTTGTTAAACAACTTTTCAAATATTTTTGAATTCCTATTTTAATTTTCTCGTAAGTTGGGAGTGTATACAAAAACAATGGTTAAGAGGAGAGTTAAGGTGTAGGAACATGTTACGATATTCAAAACTCACCTTCAAGACGAGTGAGATGTATAGGACATAATTTTTATAGTAATAGATGTAGGATAGAAAGATGATTGAAATAGTTAGTTAGTTAGAAGATAGAGTTTAAGATGATGAAGGTTGAATAGGTATAGTTTTAAGTGAAGCGTACTATTGTATTACCCTTCACCCTAAACCTTTAAAAAAAAAAAAAAAAAAAAGAAAAAAAAAAAGAAAAAAAAAGAATGGGAGGTGGGGGAAGAAACAAAAAGGTGATAGTTGTATGGCATTATATATATGTGTGTGTATATATATATATATATATGGGGGTAGAGTTGTCCATGTGTATGTCACCGACAAAACCATTGCCACCCACAGCCAGCTGCCCAGGCTTAATAACTCTCCTCCTTAATTCAGCTTTTTGTATTTTAATGGTTTATTTCATTTTTGATTTACCTTCTATCATCATTAACAATTTATTATAAAATATACTTCTTTTATTGGTTTTTAATTTCATCTTCAATAATGATTTAACTATTACTTTGTGTTTTTATGTTTAAATCAAAATCAAGTAATTAATTCTTGAGAGTGAAAACCTCATAATTAAATATTTGGTAGATAATTAATTATATCTTTTAATAAATTCATTTACTAATAAAAAAAAAGGTTAATCTAATATCAAAATACTGAAGGTTCTCGAAAAATTATGTGGTTAACATCGTGTGAATTGGTCAACCAAAATATAAAATAAGAAACTCTAAACTGAGTAGATTCTTCAATAAAAGCCTCAACCATCCGATCAATCCTCTTGGGCTAATTTCAATTGCGACAATGAACTTTAATTTTCTCCACTTTCCATTCCATTCAAAACGCCTACACAATATATACCCCTCATAAGCACCAAAAGTAAAAACAAATGCAAATAGCTCCATGTGGTTTGCATACAAGTGGTCCCAATCATACCTCAATAAATTGTGTTATAGAGATAAAATGTGAGGATGAGATAAAAGGCTAGACATTGTAAAAGAATAAAAAAGCCAAATGCACCTATTCAAAGTCCCAATTACATTGATAATTTTGTTTGAGCAAAGGTAAAATTTTAAGAATGAGTAGAAGCTTGGTTGTTTGTATAAGGTCGTAATTGTTTTTAGAACACTATCATCTTCCCAAAATTCACATGATATGCATACTTTGAACATGATGATAACAAACTCTCAACTTTTTCTAGTAAATATGAGCTCAGTAAACCTTTTGTTTATCATTATAAGTTGATTGGGGGAGAAACAACGATTTAAGTTTGAAGGTGTGATAAAGTTAAATTATTAACCCTATCTAAAATCATGTTTATGATCCTTTTAGTTTTAGTTAGATTATCTCATTGAGTCTTTATTTTGCATTTAAGTAGCTTTTAGAGTTTGGTGTATAAGAATTATGCATTGAATTGATCAAATTTCTTAGTTTTATGTTAATCCTATATATATGTACTATGTGGTATGTAGGACTGAGTAGGATAGTTGTTGTTGTATAATTGTATTGTAGGATCAGATGTTGGGCTTTTGCACACTTTTGGGCTTGCAAGTTGGGTTGATTTTGTTAGGCTTGCTTGGACTAGTAGATCTTTTACTTATCATTAGGCTGAGGCTCCTATCCTTTTTGTTTATTATGGGCTCTAAACCCTTGTGTTAGTATAACTATAACTATAGTATAAATTATAGATTATAAATTAGCAAACAAACATTTGAGATGAGAATAATCTGATCATCCCTCCGTTACATTATTCTCCTTGTTTGTATTTCTTAATTACTAGTTTCTAGCTTTCTTTCTATTTTTGGCTCTTGTTCCCAAGTTTGAATATTTCTACAAGGTCCAATGTTTGAATATTAATTACTTCATCACATTCTTAGTTTTTTTTATTGTTATGGCTACTTGAAATATTTGCCTTTCAGTTTGATTTTTAAAGAACACTTTGATCCTTCTTTTACATTGGATTCAATTTTCATTTGTGGCTCGTGGTTATTATCTAAAAGGTCAAAATATGAGTTTTTCAAGGAATCCATGCAATTGTTTTAAGTTCTAAACAAAACTTTTTTCGTAAATTTTTAGTTACTTTTAAGTTTTATATTTCTTGCTTCATTTTATGTCATTTACATTCTACTTCTTTAATTTTATGCAATTTACTTTCCGTATTGTTATTTACATTCTCATACCATTTACTTTTCATAATTTCTTTAATAATTAATTACTTGCGTAACAAGTTTCCTTTCCTAGACTTTAACACTTACAACTTTTTCCCCCCCTGTGTTTTCCATCTTCATTATTCACATTAAATTCTTTACATCTTTTGTAAAAAGAATCCTAATGATAATAGACTGAAAGCCTTAGCTTGAGGTATAAAGTAAAGTTAAAAGTAAGACCAATGAAAAGGTAAAAAGATGTCTCGTTTAAAGTTATTTAAATCAAAGTTATAATATTTTATTGAGGATTACATTTTATTAATTGACAAAATAAATGTTTATATGAAAATGTGTTAGCTTTCAAGAAGTTACTTTAAATATTAATTATGAGATAACTCTAGTCTGCTATAATATCTCTTTATCGGATCACTCGTTTTTATCTTAACGGACCTTTACATCTTTCGCTTTTGTTTATGATTGATTTTTCTGTAACTGATAATTCACTAACCAACCAACCAACAGATTTCTTGGAATTCGCCATCTGAAATCAGTTTTTAAAGACTGGATTTTTTGAAAGTCATCTCTATAATTCGGTACTTTACCGTTATTACTTTTTATAATTCGGTACTTTATCGTTATTACTTGTTATAATACTACAATAGATTAAGGTGTATACTTGCACCAATATCTATTTTTGTGGTAGTAAAATAACGACAACATGATTATAAGTATTTTAATTTATTCGTTACAATTAAAATTGATGAAAATAAAATAAAATCATAAAATCACTCCTTAAATTGCAAGCATATCTTAGAACTCCTTTATGTCATCTTGCTTGACAAATACTAACATACAAACCTTAAAAATTTAGAGTTGACAATAATCTTCAATTTAAATTTTGGAACTCAAATAAATCTCTAACAAATAGCTACTTTGTCCTATAACAAACCAGAAACTAGTAAACAACTAAAAATACTGAAATTTTATTTTATAAACAACCATACTTCTTACATGTTCATAATTTATGTTAATACTATAGAAAACACTAATGCAATTTTAATGTGTAAAGTCTCAAACCCAAAGCTAGAGGCTAGCCCGATTACTTTTTATCAAAAACCATGATGAAAGTTATTGATAGCCACCACTTTGAGCTTATAAGGAGCTCATAACTTTTATCCATGTGGGACAAGTTGTTATATATTATAGGGTTAAATACATGAAATAACAACTTACTTTCATAAATTTTCTTATTATAACATTCTACTTTTGTTTTGTTTTATTTTATTACAGTAATGTACTTTCAAATTATTTTTTATTAAAACATCACACTTTAAAAAATATACCCATTATAGCAGTGGGTAACATGTTACCTTTTAAACCGGTTAACCACTAGACTTTTTTTGCTTGTATGACTTTAATGAGGTGATGAAGATGACACATCATTTTGATGACTTAATTAAAATAAAAATAAAAACCTATTTCAAATTTTTATTAGTGAATTTCATTTTTCATTGTTATATTTAAGAAAAACATTTTTTTTTTTATTTTTTCTTATTAAGTTGCATGCAAGTTAAATATTCTAGAGTAAAATATTTCTTAAATAAATATGCTACATTATTTTCGAGATATATTTTGTTTGTAAAAAAAATAACACTTCTTATTTTATGTTGTTCAAAAAAATACATATCTTTTAAAATTCTCTCTAAAATGTTAACGAAATAAATTGTGTTCTATACTTTTTAATATTGTTATATTAATAAATAATTCAAAAAAATCTAATTAATTTAGTATATTTATACGTTAAGTAAATTTTTTTGAACAAATATAATATATTCTTTAAAAGATAATATTTTTTTGGTAAAAAGGAAAAAAATCTTTTTTTTCCTTCAAAAAACACATATTTTTAAAAAAAATATTAGCGAGATAAGTTGTCTTCTACTAGTTTTATTAATATTGGTATGTTAATGAATAATTTAATTTTTTTAATTCATATAATATATTTATTAAATAACATGTAAAATATCTAAATATTAAAATTAAAAGTACATTGTTTAATAAGAACTGATAGATGTTACAATAAAATAATTTTAAAAGTGCAATCTTGTAATAAGAAAATAACATCACTATAGTACATGTGGACAGCCTACGTGGACAATGAGGTGGCATGGAAACCTGAGATAATGGGTAAATTTAAATCAAAAGGTTACTCAATGCTATAATGAGTAAATTTTTCAAAGTACAATGTTCTAATAAAAAATAGTTTGAAAATTTATTACTGACTTACTGTAATAAGAAAAACTGGAAGTACAATATTACAATAAAGAAATTTATGAAAGTAGATTGTTATTTTGTGCATTTTGCCCTATATTATATAGGGTTGGGTTTCTGTGAGAAGAGAGTTAAGATGAAAAACGTAAGAAGAGATTTCCACTCTTGGATGCACATTAGGATGAGATGCATTGAGATGAAATGTGTAACACCCTCAAATATGGAAAAAACGACTAATTTAAAATTTCCA